CGCTATCAAATTACTATCTTAAGGGGAAAGTGATATAATTTTACCCTGCCAAAGAAATTTTCTTTAAAAGGAAATTCAGAAAAGAGGCAATGTTTACTCCAAAAGGATGGCTACCTAACAATGAACTCTCAGGTATTTGGGGACCAAGGGAGCCACATGGGGCTGAATAGTACTCTATGGAAATTTCTTGCTCTTGCCAGGTGATGGCACCTTGCTATGGGATGTCCCAGCCTCCAGAACTCTGACAAACAAATTTCTTTTCTTTTCTTTTTTTTTTTTGAGACAGTCTCACTCTGTTGCCTGGGCTTGAGTGCCGTGGCATCAGCCTAGCTCACAGCAACCTCCAACTCCTGGGCTCAAGCGATCCTCCTGCCTCAGCCTCCCAAGTAGCTGGGACTACAGACATGCACCACCATGCCCAGCTAATTTTTTCCATATATTTTTAGTTGTCTGACCAATTTCTTTCTAATTTTTTTTAGTAGACAGGGGGTCTCGTTCTTGCTCAGGCTGGTCTCAAACTGCTGACCTTGATCGATCCTCCCACCTCGGCCTCCCAAAGTCCTAAGATTACAGTCATGAGTCACCAGGCCCGGCCCAAATTTCTTTTCTTTATAAATGACCCAGTCTGTGGTATGCTGTTATAGCAGCACAAAATGGACTAAGACAGAGAACTTCGACAAGTGACTAGTCTTCTTCTTACTTCAGTTCCTCATCTCTAGTGGGAATAATGGTATTCCTTATCTCTTAGGATTATTGGGAGGATGAATGTGTTCATGTATGTAGAGCAATTGGTATAGCACCTAGCACAAAGGGAATGCTACAGAGGTGTTTGTCATCATTAGTATTATTAATAATATCATGTGACCCGGGACAGATGGAATCCATTCCATCTTCAAGAAGCTTCTATGTAAAATGGGAACGATGGACCTATTTCAAAGTATGAAGTTTAGGTAAAGGTAACACACACAGAGCACCAAGGATATTGTAACCAAACAAGCTTGGCTATGATAAGGAGGATAAGGATAAATGGATTTGCTTTACGACTCCAAGAACCAAGATCTCGTGGGAAACCCCGGCCCTGATAGCAATTCCCTCCCCAGCAAATGTAATCCAGTGTCGCTCTGGAATATTCTTCAGGTGCTCCAAGTGCCCAGTGGGTCTGCACCTGTCTATAAAGAGTTTTAACATTTTATCTAAGGACATTAGTAAAATTCATGTACTTTTGATAGTGAAAGAGAAAAGGCAATTTCTCACCATTTAAATGATAGTGGACTCTTTTCTTGCTTCGTATCTCCCTGTTCCAATGTATAGAAACTTGTTTGAAATTTTAGCCTCAGAATTGACCAATAAATACTGCCTAAAATCACAGGCCCCAAGAAACTGGTGACAAGTTAACCATATGATAGCAATTAAGATGGTACACAAGTGAATCCTTCAATTTTTAAAGGTTCTTTAAGAGTGAATTTGCAGCTGTCTGCTGTATACAGCTTTGTCTTAAATAATTTCTGGTAGAATTTTATCACTTTGTCATCTTTCTAATGGCAAATTACCCTTAAATCTCTTTTCCCAGAAACAGAATCTGGCTTTAAGTTCTTAGATTCTGAAAGTAGGCAATAAATAAATAAATAAATAAGACCCTAAGCCACTTTAGAAAGTTTTGCCCCAGCCAATATTATTTCCTTATGATGTTTTAAAAACATCAACAGCTATTTATTAGTCACAATTCAAGGTACTTAAGGGAGCTCATGGGCTAGCCAGGGTTCGGAATGTTGTATATAGCTTTGTGTTTTGTTTTAATACAATCGACTGAACACATTTATTTAAAGTGCCAACTTTGGTAACTTCTGATATACGTATACTCCTATGAAACCACCATGATCAACAAAAAGAACATGCAAATCACCCAGCAGAGGTTCCTTACGTAGTTTTGATTTCTCTTTTTCCTACTGCTAAAATGGCTCCGATTTTTCCCAAGGAGAAAAAAGACCCACAATTTTTTTTAATAACTAGAAATAAAGATTGTAATACCTATGGGGAACGCAGAGAGGAGCTAGCAGTGGGGTGAGAACTCGTTTATAAAACTGACTACTAGATCTGGGAGAGGAGCTAATCACTCTGTTTTGTAGAATGTCTGCTTGCCTAGTTGCAGGTCTGCTAACTATGAAGAGACTTTTGGGGGACGCATGTCCTTCAAGGATTGCTGAGCACTCTATAAACGAGGCTCATCCAACCTGATGGGGCTTTGTGAGGTCTTATGATACACAGATGGGGAAGCAAAGTGCAACGACTCTCTGTGACCTTTTTTTGGAGTCACAGAAAGTCACCAGGGAAGCGAATGGCTATGAAAACTTAGTCCCTTTACTTCTGAAGCAGAATTCGACCAGCCCTAACAGTCCTAGATAAAGTTTAAGACATGTACTTAGAAACTAAAAGAAAAAAAAAGATAAGACCAAAGGAAACATTCATCCTTTTCTGAGTCACTGCAGCTTCTGAGCTGGATCAGCCAGCGAAGGACTGAAGAATTATGAAACGTCTTGGCTCAGCGGGAGGAAGGAGTGTTCACCAGATTGTCTTGCAACTGCGCAACGCAGGAAATTATCCATCAGGTGGAAAAGGATAACACTGCAATTCCATCCAGATGAGGCACGATCAGAAAAAATAAAGGGCCTAGGTTGAAAAAGGAAACAAAAAGCGAAATAAAATAACACAAAATCGAGTGAGGTGGGTTGAAGTTGGAGTGAGGAATCGGGGCGGCTAGGCACATTTGGAAATAAACCAATTGCATATAGTCCTGGAGCTTAGAAATAATTTTTTTAGTATCATTCCATCCCAGAGCTCTGATTTACATCGCTTAAATTCACTGGACATCTCGGAGTGGGCCTAAGGCGAGGGGAAAAGGCAACAGCAATTGATCAGGGGGCAGGGGCATAATATACAATTCTGAAATGGATTCACAGTGACTGAATCTAAATAAACATTGCAGCTTTATCAGTCAGACATGAAAGGACTCCGACAAGCTCCAAACCTCTTCCTCTGAAAAGCATAGAGATACCAAAAGGAAACCTTATTAAAAAAGTTGTAAAATTCAGAAGGAGATATGAAGGAGCAGTCTTAAAACATACACAGGACAGGGTCTGTAGATAAATAGCAACGTCTGATGTCCTTTTGCCTTTCCTTCCATTTTTCTTCTTCTTTCCAAAAGCTGATACATATCTATGTGCAAGGATACTGGGGCATTCAAGAAATATTATATTTCTAAAATAAAAGGAAAACTTGCCCTGCTCTATGTGAAAAGGCCTTTGTCCTTAACATTGACAAGATGAGCGAGGCTTAGCTCAGCCTCGGAATTGTCTGTCTAGGCGTAGAGATCAAAAGTCTCCTTTCTGACCAAGCTTGCTTATCACTGCAAAGTCTCTCTCAAACCCTGGGGGAGCCAGGCACGGACACCCACCATGGACTCAGAAGCCTCTCTGTGCAGGGCAAATGGGGATTCAGTTCTGTCTTCCAGAGAGATCTGTAGAAGCACTCCAGAAAGGAGGCAGAAGCACTCTTCCCTCCCCCAGAAGAGAGAGAAAGGGAGGCCAGCAAAAGCCCTTGTTAAAGTAGGCAGTTTAACATTCCTTAATCTTTTCTTCCCTTTTTCATGTTGTACTTTCCACTTAAATTTATCATTTAAGATAAATTGGAGAGTACAAATGGGCAAAAAAAGCAAACCACCGTTAACATTTCTTGAATATCCTTCCAAACCTTAATCTATAAAACCAAATGTAAGATTGCACTAACTTGTTTTCTATATGTAGGGGGTTTTCCCCACTTCAAGATACACACAATGGATGTGTCATAACACGTTTAACGAATTCTCCTCTATTAGAGAGCTTGGTTGTTTCCAATATTTTATTATCATAAACAGCCTATAGCTAAATCTTTCCTAACTTATTTCCTTAGGATAAATTCCTAGAGGTGTTGAGTCAAAGATGTGCATGTTTTGTGGCTTCTTAGAATGGCTGTTGCCAAATTGGAACCTCTCCAACACCTACTCCCGCCATTCTGAGTTTTATTAGTCTACACTGCCATCCTGTTACACCCGTGGCTAACACTGGATATTGTCAATGTTTTCTTCCGCTGACCTAACACTGTGAAAGTGGTGTCTCGTTTTTTTAAATTTGCATTTCTTTAATTACTAGTGAGATGGATGATTTTTCATGTGTGTTGTCCGTTTCTTTTTCTTTTATTAATTTACCATTCACGCACTTAGCCCATTTTTCTATTGCTGTGTTCATCTATTTCCTCATAAGAATCCTTTATATAGAAAAGATATTCTTTATCAGCTTTTAATACAAGTTATAAACTTCTTCATTGTTTGTCATTTTCCCTTTAACTATTTTTTTAACTTTTTTTATTTGATTATTTGAGACAGAGTCTCACTCTGTTGCCAGGGCTAGAGTGAGTGCCGTGGCATCAGCCCAGCTCACAGCAACCTCCAACTCTTGGGCTCAAGTGATCCTCCTGCCTCAGCCTCCCCAGTAGCTGGGACTACAGGCATGCACCACCATGCCCGGATAATTTTTTCTATTTTTTAGTAGAGACGGGGTCTCGCTCTTGCTCAGGCTGGTCTCGAACTCCTGAGCTCAAGCAGTCCTCCTGCCTCAGCCTCCCACAGTGCTAGGATTACAGGCAAGAGCCACCAAGGTCCTCTTTTTAAAGAGATTTAACATAAGTCTCAGCACCTGGAGTGTGTCTGGGTCACTTGTGCCTGCCCAGCACCCACTCTCCCTTCTTGGGTCCAGGGAACTTTGGTTTTCCTCCGGCAAACATGGCCGCCCTCACTCTCCAAACGTGTAACTTGGCAACAGTAGGCGCTGAGCTCATCCTTTTCCCTACCTCGGATAGACGAGCCAGAGCTGGCCAATAAGAGTGGTCCCTTCACCTCGGCTACAGTGATTGGTTCAAGAACGGGCACATGACCCGCACCAACCAATCAAATCCAACTTCTAGGCTTCCCTTTGCATTATGGGAAAAGACAGCCATCTTCCCCGCTGGTGACACCGTGCACACAGGTTTTGAGCTTGGATGGGACTTTTGGCCGCCACTTTGCTCCCGAGTATGCCTGGATGAAACCGGCCCAGAAAGTAATGCAAGAAACCGGTCCAGAAAGTAATCCAAGAAAGAGAAAGTGACGGAGTCCTGTTGACAGCAGAGTCCCTGTTGTGACCCATGTTTGAGATTAGCGTCCTCCCCTGAACTGTCTGTGAAGCCAGTACGCTCCCTTCTCTGCTTAGGCGCTTGTGAGACGGGTCTTTCTCCACCTGAGCAGTGTTTGTAAAGACGACACAGCGTCCTCTCAGCCCTGAACACCTCGGCAGGGAAGCCAAGCGTGGAAGAAGTGCTGGCGTGGGAGTGTGGGTTGCAGGGCTACCTCCGCCGGCCACTGTCATGTCCTTGGGCCAGTGGCTCTCTGTGGCTCGCCCTTCTCCTCTGTGGAAGAGGCTGTTGGAAGACAGAGGGACTCTAAATGTCTCTTCGAAGGCCATAAGTCTTGGCTCCGTGATAACACCGTGTCAACACTTCAGGTTAATCTGAGGTTCTGTCTCCCACCGCCACCTACACAGCCCGGTGACAGATGACACACTGACCTATTTTAAAACTTGAAAAGCAAATCGACAGGACCACAACGTGCTTTAAGATAGAGCGAGACTCTCTCTGAAATGTTGCCGGGATGTACATTTCTCCGGAAGTGTGTTAACGAGGTGAGTAATGTATCAATCCATTAACTAGTGTATAGATTAGCAATAAATATTTTGTTTTAGGAAGGTCTGCCACTCCAGCTTTGCTGGGCTAAAGTAAACGAAGATCCTGGTTATGTCAACAGATGACACAAGTGTTCCGAAGTGGTGCTGTCTGCTCTGAGGAGGGGAACAGAGGAGGTGGGAAGAGACGCGGGTCACACTCCCAGTTCTCCTTCCTCAGATCTCCAATGTTTACTTTGATGAATTAGCAATTCTCAGAACCTCGGACCACGGACACAAACATGAATGATCTTTTGAAATGCAGATCAGACTGTGTAATTCTTCTCCTTCCAATCTTTCATTGATTCCCTAGTGCCTTTGGGACCAAGTTCAAACCCATGGGTCTGGCATATAAACCCTTTGTAATGTGAGCCTTGCTCTCATTCCATATGGCAGCCTCATCTTCTCCCACTCCTCTTTGTGTACCTTATTTACACTAAGCAAATATGTTAGTGCATAGAAAACGCTCAATATTAAGCATGATTCCTGGCATTTAGTAAATGCTTATACACGTTGGCTGTCATTACTACACATTAGTTATGCTCATAGTTGCCTAGAAGTGCAGCCCTGGGCCTGTTTGCCCCGAATCCATCCTCACCCTTCCCTGCTCTGTTTTTGTCCACCAGGCTGACCCTTGCAGGCTGCATTTCACAGGCTCCTGTGTCTCACATGCCCAGCTGGTTGTACAAGGCCAACAAGAGATACCAGCAAAATAACGGCAGGTAGAAAGCAGATAGAAGCCAGGGTAGTTCTCTCCTTGCTGCCTTGGGTGGCTTCTATAGCAGTGACTGTCTTTTCTGTAGTTCCAGGTTTTGCCAAACAGGCCCACTGTGATTTCAGCTCGAGATCGCTTCTTTCCCCCCGCTAGCAGAGGTGGTAGTGGCTTCCTGCTGGTGCTGATCTCTGCGTTGCCTCATCACCCGTGTTAACTGTCAGCGTCTCTCTGTACTGCATGGCCAATTCCCTGTGTTGCAGATCTTTGAAGAGATGTCTGCTTTCCTGGAGAGACAGTGACAGACTCACATAACACACTGTCACATGTCGGTCCTCATTCTAACGGCCAACTCATGGTCATCCTGGAAAACTGTTCTACGGTCACCTCCGAAAACTGTCCAGTCTCTCCACCCACTTCCTCCTGAAGGATGAATTGGGTATCCAATTGGGTATCCCTCTTCTACCTGCCTCTCCCCTAATAAGTGCTTTATTCTTAGAAAACTCCACTACAGAGTTAATTTTCTTAAGAGCAAGTACACTGTCTTTTTTAATTCTTTTTTTGAGACAGAGTCTCAACAGGACAACAGGGTTAGAGTGTCTCGGCGTCAGCCTAGCTCACAGCAACCTCAAACTCCTGGGCTCAAACAATCCTCCTGCCTCAGCCTCCCGAGTAGCTGGGACTACAGGCATGTGCCACTATGCCTGGCTAATTTTTTCTATATATTTTTAGTTGACCAATTAATTTCTTTCTATTTTTAGTAGAGACGGGGTCTTGCTCTTGCTCAGGCTGGTATCGAACTCCTGAGCTCAAACGATCTGCCCGCCTCAGCCTCCCAGAGTGCTAGGATTGCAGGCGTGAGCCACTGGACCCGGCCCAAGTACACTGTCTTACTCATTTGGTATCTCAAATCTACCACGCTGATGTGTTTTTAAATGAATGACTAAATGCATAATTAAAGAGACACTTTTTAAATCCAGACAAAAATCATTAGAAACTGTCCTGAGGCAGACACTGTAAGTTCCCCACTCGATAATCATGTCCCCTTTTTTCTTGCCAACAGAGCCCCGATTCTACTTGGAGCACCAATATGCCCTGCTCTGAGGAGCACTTGCTTTCCCAGCCTCCCTTGCAACTCAGGGTGGCCATGTGACAATGTCATCCAGTGAAACAAGTGGAAGACTGCAAGGAGGTTAGAGCCAAGGCTGGTACCCCTCTCTCTTCTCGCCCTGGATTTTCTGTGCCTCGAATGTTCACGGGCTGTCTGGAGCTATGGCGGCCAACGTGAAACCATGAGATGACAGACGTGAAGGGACAGTCCAACACGTTCAGGATAGAAAAGCAAAAGGTAGGAAGAGTGTGGGTCTCCTGTGGCATCCCTGGGCTTTTTAGTATGAGAAAAATAAACTCTTCCCTCTTATCTATTGTTCTTTTGATTTTATGTCACGTAAGAGTCAAATGCATTTCTAACGGGCAGGATATGCCATTTGGGGATACTCTATTGCTGTTCCCTTTTATCTTCCCAGATAAAGGATGACATGGTTACAATCTGATTATCTAATACCTGTGGCTAATTGGAGGAACCCCAGGATAAACAGTAGGATGATGTGTGTAATGGTTAGTGTCCACTTGGCTAGACCATAATAGTGCCCAGTTTGGGTCAAACACCAGTCTAGATGTTCCTGCTGTAAAAGTGTTTTTAGGTAAGATGAATGTTTAAATCAGTAGACTTTAAGTAAAGCAGACCCTATACTGTGGGTGGGCCTCATCCAATCAGTTGAAGGTCTCATGAGAAAAAGACTGACATCACCCGAGGAAGAGAGAATTCTGTTTGCGCACTGACTGTGAACTCAAGCAACAGTCTTAACTTTCCTGGGTTTCCAGCCAGCCTGCTATAGATTTTGGACTTGCCAACTCCTAAAATTATGTGAGCCAATCCCTAAAATAAAAACTCTGTCTCTGTCTCCCTGTGTCTCTCCATCTCTCTCTCTACATATAATATATATTATCTATTATATATATACACACACACACAAATGCATATACATATGTCACCAATAGGATGTATTAATTTTAAGAGTAAGCACACTGTCTTATGTATGTATATCCACATGTATACCTATGTTATATATCATCTATCGAGCACACTGTCTTATATATATGCATGCCTATTGGTTCTGTTTCTCTGGATAAATCTGACTTAATACCTTGGGTATAAAGAAACTCAGAGAAAGAATGAACTTTTAGTAAGAAACGAAGACCTCTCGACAAATATGCCTTAGCAGAAACCATCGAGGATTGCCATTCCAAATTCTGTTAAGCGTGTATATGATTATTTATTTTTTTGCTACTTTGGATAAAGACAATCTTGATTTATTGTCATTATCTCTTTTGATCAAGGAGGAGCCTGCATTCCTTCCCGGCTTGGTTTTATTAACCTTCAGCACTCTCTTTCTCTCCTCTGTGAAGTCGTAGCTGTCAGAACCTGGGCCAGGGGCCAGCGTCTTCATAAACCCGTTTTCTAGCAAATGCAGATGGGAGTCTCCTGGCCATGGGGTTTGCATTTACTGATCTCATTCTGTCATCCAGGGCAGCTCCTTTGTTGTTGTAGGAGTTAGACTATACTCTGTCATTTGCTGCTTGGCATGAAAGGTTAGGGGATGAGGAGGGCCTATCAACAGGAGTCAATTATTTATGAAATCGGATTTTCGCATTTGAACTTCTGAGCATCTTGCTGGGTTGGGTTGCGGAAAAATGACAGCGTCTCGGAGTCGTGGAATGAAGGCAGTATCGAAGCCCAGATGTTAGTCTGGTTCTCACCTGTTCTTCACCGGCAGTGTCAGGAGACTGTGAAGTAGACTGGCCTGGGGCAGAATTGTCCGGTGTGGGGATCTGACTCAGCCTTCTGGGGCTATTTTATGTCCTTCGTCCATTCAGTCCCTTCAATGGGTCCCTTTCCTCTGTGGCCATCGCTGCCTCCTCTCCTGGCAGAGAGAAAGAGAGAGAGAGGCATAGAAGATAGAAAACCCCTTTCCCTCCCAGATACCACCCAAAGCCTCCTTCGTGCAGATGGGAATCTAAGCAGAAAAAGTCTGAGTCCCTTTAAACCTTCCTCTAGCAGAGATTGGCCAACTGAGGGCTCTGGGCTAAATCTGGCCTGCATGGCCCTGTCAAGTTAAAAATGCTTTGTTCTTTTTTGGTTTTTTTGAGACAGAGTCTCACTCTGTTGCCTGGGCTAGAGTGCCATGGCATCAGCCTAGCTCACAGCAACCTCCAACTCCTGGGCTCAGGCGATCCTCCTGCCTCAGCCTCCCGAGTAGCTGGGACTACAGGCATGCACCACCATGCTCGGCTAATATTTTAGTTGTCCAGCTAATTTCTTTCTATTTTCAGTAGAGACAGGGTCTTGCTCTTGCTCAGGATGGTCTTGAACTCCTGAGCTTGAGTGATCCTCCCGCCTCGGCCTCCCGGAGTGCTAGGATTACAGGCATGAGCCACCATTCCTGGACTAAAAATGTTTTTTACATTTGAAAAATGTTATTAGATATTTTAAAAAGAGGACAACGACTATGTCAGGAAGACCACATACAGCCTACAAAGCCCAGAATACATACGCTCTGGCCCTTTCCAGATAGTTCGATGGCCCCTCTAGAGTCTAGAGGATGAAGCCGTTAGCAGTGGAATCATAGGCATGAAGAAGGGAATGGGGGAATTTTGTGGGATGAGGCTTTGGCCAGCCCTGTTTGAAAAGAACAAAAAGATACAAAGATAAGTTTTGAATGTTTCTGAATAACTTGTCCACAGGAAACGGATGCATTGTTGATAGATTTTCTGTGGCCAGGAAAAGCTTTTATTCCCATGGATTCTACTGGAAATCAGATACTAGCTGTTTTCGTTCATGTATCCCTACCCTGCACCAGGTCCTGCCTAAAGCACTTTTCATGCATTTAATCCACAGCAACTCTAAGAGGCGGGTGTAGTTACTATTCCCCGTTCTGTGAGTAAGTCAGACAAATCCCAGAGATTGGGGCCGTGTTGAGCAACCGTATCATACATGCCAGGCCCGCAGGAAGTTTGACACGCTGGACTGTGTGTTCAATTCCCAAGCTCAGAGACATTTCAGAGCAAAGAGGACCTGGCTGTGGCCTCCAGATGGGGACGGATGGTTTTCACTGGTCTGTGTTTGGCAGGGTTGCAGCTGCCGCGGGAGGACAGCTGCGTACAGAGCCCGTAACGGGGGTATGCAGGGAACGTCTGCCGCGTGGAGCTGCTTCTTCATCCCCCAGGAAGATTTCTGGTGGGAGGACACACCCACCAGGTTCAGGAGGAATTTACTGAGGAGTCGAAGAGGGTTCGAGGCCCCAACCCTGCCCAACACTAGCCTGGATGCAGTGTGCCGAGGAGTGTGTATTAGTTTCCTGTGGTTGCTGTAACAAACTACCGTGTTTCCCCCAAAATAAGACAGGGTCTTATATTTATTTTTCCCCAAGAAGACACCCTGGGGTTTATTTTCAGGGGATGTGTTATTTTTTTCAAGTACGGTACAACCATCTACATTGATTCAAATAGGGTTAAGTCATCTTCTGGAACATCATCATCACTCTCCAAACCCCGAATTCCATCCTGAATGTCTTGCGACTCTATTTCCTTTAGAACCACTGGCCCCGATCTCTCCTGTGGAGCACTAGAGCTCTCACGGGGCGGATGAGAAGGGCTGCTCTTGTTCTTTCCCGCTCCTCGACGACATGCATGGGTTGTGCAGATGCACTGGGCAGCCACGCCCATCACTAGGGCTGATTTTCATAGCCACGCCTGCCACTAGGGCTGATTTTCATAGCCACGCCCATCACCAGGGCTGATTTTTCATAGCCACGCCCATCACTAGGGCTGATTTTCATAGCCACACCCATCACTAGGGCTGATTTTTGGGGTAGGGCTTCTATTGCGCACATGCTTAGACATCCTGCTAGGGCTTATTTGATGGGTAGGTCTTATTTTGGGGGAAACACGGTATCACAAACTGGGTGGCTTAAAACATCAGAGATGCATTCTCTCATGGTTCTGGTGGCCAGAAGCCTGAAACCAAGGGGTGGACAGGGCCACACCTATCTGGAGCTCTAGGGAACAATCTGATCTTTGCCTCTTTCAACGTCCGGGTCAGCTACCGACGTGAGGCTGCATTGCTCCAATCTCTGCCCCTGGGGTTGCATTGCCTCTTCCTCTCTCTGGCTTCTCCTCTCCATGTCTCTTATGGGGCACCTGTCATTGGACTTAGGACCCATCCAGGATGATCCAGGATGATCTCTTCATCTTATGATCCTTAATTATATCTGCAAAGACCCTTTTCCCAAATAAGATGGCATTCCTAGGTTTCAGGGGATTATCTTTCTGGGGCAACCATTCAACCCACTCTAGGTGTGTATAAGTATGAGAGAGAAAAAAGGACAGTCCAGGGCAGAGAATGAACCAGTTACCTACACCAGGATTCTGCCATCCAGCCAGCCAGCCCAGCCCCTATCACACTTTTTGGCCAAGGGGAAGTGCATCATTTCCAATTTGCAATCCGTGGTAAGTGTCAAAGATACAGTGATTTCAGCAGAGAAGGTGCTTATGTTTATCATGCAAGGAGAGGGTAAGAGATAGACAGCTAAGACAATTATACTCTTCCTTCATCATCACGTGGGATGCAGGTACCATCTCTCCTTCCGCTCCTTGTCTGTTCGTCTAGCCTTAGTCCAAGGCTCCCTTCCTTAAGATTGCCACATTGTTCAACGAGGCTGCTAAGGCACCAGTCATGACAACTGAGTTTCAGGCAAGAGGAAGGAGGAGGAGTGGCATGGGCAGATGGTGAGTGCCTACTGAACCAGCCTCTTAAAGAGCTTCATTTTACATCTCATTGGCCAGAATATGGAACCCCTAGCTGCAAGGGAAGCTGGGAAAAGTGTGTGTGTGTGTGTGTGTGTGTGTGTGTGTGTGTGTGTGTGTGTGTAATCTAGGTGTGTTGCTATTTGAATAAAATGGAGCGTCAGTTAGCAAGGAAGAGGGGGAGAAGGGATATGGGTGGGCAATTAGCACTCTATCAGCTGGGCCTTATAAGTCTTGTGAATCAGCACCTGCGTGGCAAAGGCAGAGAATGCCTCTGACTTATAATCAAAATAAAAATAGTCTGAGTGCTCACTGCCTACAAAGCACAGGGCTTGGTTCATTACAGGTTCATTCAACCTCCCAGCAACCCTCTGAGGTTGATCTATTCCAGCATTCCCATTCACAGATGAGAAAACTGAGGCTCGGGGAGCCCAACTGATTTGCCAAGGGTCACATGGCTAGAAAGTGGCAGAGCTGGGATTT